AAAAAAAATTAAAATAATAAGAAATCTTATTTAAAACTATAAAATAATAAGGTATCTCATTTATTTTAATTTATTAAAGAATATTTATTTTTTTATTTATAAGATTTTAATTTATTAAAGATATTTATTTTTTTAATTTATAAGATCCCTTTGTTATTTTAAATATATTTATTGAATTTAATGTTTCTTTCCTTTTTCCCTTTTCCGTTTTAAATTAATAACGTAAATATTCACTTTGCTATATAGACCTTCAATAGTAAAAAGATATACTCTTTACTATTGAAGTAGTAGCAGTAATAATAAATAAATAAATAAAAATAAATATAAATTACAATGCATATTTCTCTCTCCAATTTTAGTTTCAAAACTCAAATAAAAAATAATTATATGAAACACTTGAATTGTATTCATTATATTAACTGAACAATTGGTCTCTCTCTTCTAAAAAAGAAAACTCAACAATTGGAGAACAAGAAAAATACATTATTATCATAATAATACATGCATCAAAATAATTATATCTAATTAAAATTTGCATAAACGTATATCATACGGAGCGATGAATGAAAAACTTTACAATTTACAGTTTTATACGATTTGCTAAAAATATAATAAATTAAAAAAAAATACATAAGTTGATTTTATAGTTAGCTTTTCTTTCATCTTCATCTCCATTAATATGATATTTTTCATACCTACACATACGATCAGTGACATAACAAAGAAAATATCAAAGAAATAAGATTAAAGATGAGAAAATTCATGGGATGCATAAAAAAGAAAAAACCATAAAGAATTGCTCAAAAAAGTTAAAAAATCTGCAAAAGAAAAAAAGATATCAAAGAGTTAGCATTACCTCAATCGAATCGAAGAAAAACACATTGGTACATTTGAATTGAACACACACACACACACATATATATATATATATATAGAAAGCAATAATCAAAACTTATATAATTAAAAAGCAACAAAAGAAAAAAAATAGAAGAAAACCATTTTGAAAACAAATCATTGGAACTGAGGTACATATAATATAGATAGATGTAGGTACAGGTAAATAGATATAAATAACAAAAAAATATTTCAAGTTTTAAGAATTTTAATTTCAAAATTCAAAAATTTGTAAGAGTTAATTATTTAAAATCTTAGATATTGTATATATTAGATTAAATATAGAAAAAGAAATATTTAAAAATTAATTAAAGAGAGAGCCAAGTAAGTTGTTTGAAGATTTTTTTTTTTAATTTCAAAATTCAACAATTTTAAAGTATTAATTATTTAAAATTTTGGATATTGTATATATTAGATTAAATATAGAAAAAGAAATGTTTAAAAATTAATTAAAAAATTAAAAAAATTGTAAAAAAAGAAAAACAGCAATTCTTAAAGGAGAGAGCGGCAATATAGATTTATTTTAATATAATGAATTTATTTATTTTATTTTATTTTTTCCTATATTCTCTTATTCTATTAATCAATTAACCGAACCGAATCCAACTAATAAATTTTGGTTTAGACCGATCTGATTTAAAAAAACTTAAATTATTTTTTTGGGTAAATATGGTAAGTTAGTATTAATATATATAGTAATTAATATACATGGTAAGTGGAGCCCACATATCCAAATATGGAAATATAAGCGTTAGGTCTCACTATACCTATAAAGCAAGAACATTTCCAGCATCAAGAAGCAACAATTAGATAAGCAAAAAGCATGAGTCCCTTCTTTTTCCCTAAGTATTTCTACCCGTCAATAATGTTGCTTCTGCTATTGACAGCCATTAGAGAAGGAGATGGGATTGGTCCAAAGGCGAAGACAGTAAATGTAACAAACGATTTGGGTCCAAACACAGACCTCACTGTCCACTGCAAATCAAAAGATACTGACTTGGGTGAAAAGCTGCTCCATTTTCAAGGCTACTTTACCTTCACATTTCATCCAAATTTTTGGGGCAGCACACAGTTTTATTGCCTCATGAAATGGCAAAACGTTTCCCATTACTTTGATATTTACATAGACGACAGAGATAACAAACGATGCACTCTTTGTTTGTGGCTTATCCGATCCTCTGGCCCTTGTATGCTAAATCAGGATACTAAGAAAGTGGATATTTGTTTTCCTTGGAATCCTCCGTTGTCGTTTTGATTGGTTTGGTTAACAATAATTAACGGAAGCTAATCATGTGTAGTTTGATTGGTTTTCCTATTAATATGAATCCAAATCTTTTGGATTCTTCTATTATGTATCTTGCAATATTACTTTGATTCATTAAAGCTCCTAATGAATCAAAAATAAATAATTAATTGCGTAAGATTGTTTGTCTTTTTTGCAAAAGCTATAGCCATTACATCTTTTTCTTTTCTTTTAAGAATCTCTTAGGGTCCATTCGATAAAATTAACGTTTTAGTAGTTATTAGTTGTTTAATAGTGTTTAACTGTCAGCTATAAGTTAAACGTTATATAGATTAACTTCTTATAAAACGCTAACTTAACCTCTAAAAGCTAATTAAAATAAGATATGTTACTGAACAATATAAAAAATAGTGTTTAATATTTTAACCGATTAAAACGCTAAAAGCTACTTAGAAAGCTATTATCCAACACACCCTTAATTAATTGTATTCATAACTTCTATTTTTTTTCTCCCTATAATTTCAAATTTTTTTTCATTTTTTTTAATTTGGCTAAAATTGATAAACTGAAAATTGGAAACTACCTCCAGCATTACCACATAAAAATTGGTTATTATAATTCTTTTGTTTCATAGTAATTAAATGTTTTCAAAACGACTGTCGTTTAGATCTGCTAATAGTGGAACAAATTCTGCTTAGACTACCATATTGTAGTTGCAGATGAAGTTAGCCAGAATTATATATTTTCAAAACGATTGTCCTTTAGATCTGCTAATAGTGGAACAAATTCTGCTTAGACTAACATATTGTAGTTGCAGATGAAGTTAGCCAGACAATTGAACAGACAAAAGATCTAACAATGACTCGTCGTTTTTATAAACAGGCAAAACATGAAGATCTACGACCATATTTTTCTGGGGATGACGAAAAACCGAATTGATGTAAACTTGTCGGATAGGAAAAACAACGATCATACGTGGCATTCATGAACCTTTATTAAATGAAAGTACATGTACGGATACTATATTATTTTTTGGTACCCTGAGGACTAATCATGATTTGAAAACCTATTTTACGACTTTGAATTACTTCTTATGAGTGTATATGGTTTAAATGCTATATTATTAATACTATTTTGTTAGTTTTAATTTTGAATGTTTCAACTTTTTTAATGTTTCGCTTTTCAGTTACTAGATTTTTCGATTTTATATAATCAAGATTGAATTAAATTCAAAATTTTTTTTATTTTTTCATCTAAAAAAATTAATTTTTTATTAGAATAAAAACCAAATTGAAAATTGTTAAAATTAAACCAAACTAAACCAATGAGTTCAGTTAGAACCGGTTTGAACAAATATATTCTACAAAATTTTGTGAAATTCATTTGAAAATCCAAAATGTTGTATTTGGAAAAAATATATATATATATATAGATTTGAATTCTATGAAATTGAGTATGCCTAACTTAAATTCTACTAAAATTGATGTAATTTATAAATGAATTTCACAAAATTGACCATTGAAATATTTATTGACAAATTTACCTTCCACTATAAACTCAACTATATTTATTGACAAGTTATTATATTGTACATAATAAATATAATTTGTGTTTGTTATTTATTTTTGTTAAATTATTATGTCGAGGGTGTTATAAGAAATAAAAACAAATGAATTTTCATTTAAGAATTTATGCCAAACATAATTTTGTGAAATTCAATTGAATTTCTTATTTTAAATTGTAGCATATCAAATATAATAAATTCATTCGTAAATAAATTCTATTTGGAATTCATTTTCAAATGAATTATATAACCATAATTTATTCGTTCCAAACGAGCTCTTAATTTCTGCTTTTGATCTTTCCACTAAGAAATAGGCATTCAACTTTTGTATTATATCTTTAAAGATCATACATATGTAACAAGTGCGAAACTATTTTAATATATTTTTATTAGTTTGAATCAAATTGGGAGTTTAAATTCAAGATATTACGTACTCAAAACAAATCTTGTACCGTTGAACCAAAATTCAATACCAATTGTTTTACATTCTTGCTTCTGTTTTCAAAAGGAGATGCCATGTTTATTGGATATACAATCACTGAATACATATCTTAACATAAACATAACTTAAATTTCTTTCCGTTTGAAACTATTAATATGATTTTGTTCCCATAAAATGTGATTTGAGATACATAAATTATGGAAATGACATTCAAATGTATATTAGAACTTGTTAAATAGGAAAATCTTACTAAATATTGTTAAGTATTAATTTGATTTGCTCCCCTAAAATGTGATTTGACAGACAAATTATGGTAAGAAATATCAGATTATAGCATGAACTTCAAATATATATTGAAAATTGTTAAATAGGAAAGCCTTACTAAAAACTGTAAAGTATTAATTAGATTTTTCCCCTTAAAATGTGATTTCAAATGCATAAATTATGGCAACCAGTATCAAATTATAGTATGAAATTCAAATATATACTAAAATTTGTTAAATAGGATAACCTTACTAAAAATTCCTAAGTATTAATTTGATTTTTCCTCTAAAATATGATTTTCGATACATAGATTATGGTAAGGAGTATCAGATTATAGCATGACATTCAAATATATACTAAAAATGTTAAATAGGAAAACCTTACCAAAAATTATTAAGTACTAATTTGATTTTTTCTCCTAAAATATCATTTGAGATACATATGGCAAGTATTATCAGATCTCTATTTATACACTGACATACAGGTTGATGCTATGTTCTGATTCCAAATCCAAAATATAAAAAAGTAAAAAGGCTAAGGACTCCATAAAGATGAGAGCCATGACCACCAGAAGCTTGTGGTTCCTAACGATGTTTCTTTTGGTGCTTAGTAGGTGTGAAGGCTGGATGTTTCCTAAAACGCAGACAGTTAATGTCACTAATGTTTTAGGGTTGGACCTAACTGTTCATTGCAAATCCAAAGATGATGATCTGGGTGTCAAACCTAACGATGTTTCTTTTGGTGCTTAGTAGGTGTGAAGGCTGGATGTTTCCTAAAACGCAGACAGTTAATGTCACTAATGTTTTAGGGTTGGACCTAACTGTTCATTGCAAATCCAAAGATGATGATCTGGGTGTCAAACTATTGCATCACAATGGCTACTTTACTTTTCGTTTCAAACCCAATTTTGTAGACAACACCCTCTTTTATTGCTCGTTTGCATGGAAAAACAACTTTCATTGGTTTGATATTTACTCGGTACAAAGGGATGACGACAAATGCGACGACAATTATTGTTCGTGGATTGTTCAACCTTTAGGCCCTTGTATGTGGAATAAAGACAAGAAGATTTTCAATGATTGTTTCCCTTGGAACAAGGCATGAATTTGCTTAAATGGTGTTCTTTGCATGAACTAATAAATAATGTATTGCTTGCGCTTATTGGTTATATAAGGCAGCAGACTGGAGAATGTCTGTAGCAATTATGTAGTCTTCTTATCTTTATTTCATGAAATAATAACTTGTTAATTACCTTACTCCTTGTTTAAATGTCTATAGTCTTACTCTGTTAGCAAGTGTAGTCTTATTTGTTAATAACAAGTTATGGCATCAAGTTCTTCTTCTCCTCCATATATGGCCCTAGGTCTGGTTCGACTTTCCATCCATGAACAGTACGTGTTAGGTGGCACAGAGTTGTTTCTGACGAGAGTCAAGGTTTTGAACTAACTTTGGTCTTGAAAGTTCTTAACTGACTGGAATATAAACTTTTATGCTATGAAGCAAACCATAGTGTTTCTATGAATCAAACTCCAAACCTCTTTAATATTGGAGTTGGCACTTGGAATCGAGATTTTCAACCAACTTCCAAGCTGTTAAACACAAAGAAACATGTTAGCTCACTGGCCAGACCAATGCTTTAGGCTAGAGAATGTAAATGATAGAAGAGATAAAGAAGAGTTTGAGAAAATTGATTAATTGTATATATTTTAATATGTAGACAGATTGCTTTTTTATACAAGCAAATACTGAATATACATAGAGAAAATATCAAGTATATATGTTGTACATGAGCTGTATTTGGAATGTTAGATACAAATAACTAATTGATAGACTGGCATTTATACATTAAGAGAGAATCCCTTTGATCACTTCCAATTTTCTTTATTAATTGTCAAAATAGTTAGCTAAAAACTACAGTTGTTGAGAATTTGATTGAAGAGGAATTAGGTAGCTTTTATTTTCATTTTCAAATTTTTTTCTTTCCATGCTAGTCAAAGGCTTTATGTTCTGGAATTAGAATATCTTTGTATACCTTTGACTGATTTCCCTAAATTTTGTTAACTGAGCCTTACTCTTATAAGTTACAAACTATTTATTTCTATGGTTTTGACATATTACCTTTAAATTATAATGTAGTAACCATACTATTATACCAATATCCAGTCGTAACATGTTAAAGAAGACCTCGGAACTGAGGTGAGGGTTCAATCAGTAGACGGGACCTCTTAGCCTTGCAAATACTTTGTTTACATAGCCCCTTTTTTTCTTTTCTTCTTTCTACTCCGGCTATAGAACCGCTGCCTCCCGAGCAAAGAGAACTGCAGATTCAATTGAAAACAGAACAATATGGGTCAGATGAGCTTTTGTGAAGCTACAATAATTATAAGCTTAGCCAGCGCCATACCTGTAGTAGGAGATAACATAGTGACTTGGATAGCATTAGAAATTCACAGCTTCTTAAATGGATCCATATATTTATGGAACTAAAAAATAGCATAGATCTTTCACCTTGGGTGTGTGGGGGGATTGGAAGGGATCGATTCCCATATTATACACCTTTCCCACAAAAGTGGTTCTGCTCAAATACAGGTGTAGCTAAATTTATTTTTGGGATCATATTGTATAGTAATGGACAAAGCTTATCACCTTTCTTCCATGAAAAAGGGGACCCTAGATAAAGAATATGAAAACTCATCTGCCCCTCTTATTCATTCTTTAAGTGATCACCCAACCTTCTCCATCTTTTTCCTTTTATGGATACAAAAACAAATAAATCATCATTTCCAAGTTCGTGTGTTTCTTTTGTTAGTTTACTTTATTTGCAAGTCGTTTGCATAATAATTAGTTGTATTCTTTATAATGATTTTATTAAGAGAAGAGATTAATATATATCCAAAGGGTACCCAAATTGGCATCACAACTAAGATTTCTTCTTATGAGTTTTAACGTCATTGTTTTTTTTTACTATTATCTTTAAGCAATTCAAATTTTAATACTCATTTGATATATTTCCCATGAAATTATCTTAAAAATAAAAAAATAATAATAGCATTAAGTATAATCAGTAATTAGATTACAATAAATATTTTCTTTTGTACATATAAGATTCCATTTTTCTGTTTAATGAAAATTAATGATTTTACTAAAACATATAGAAGAAAAATAGACAAAAATTTATGAATTAATTGATCCATTTTGTATTTAGACAAATTTATTTATTTTCTTTTATATTATTATTATCTTAACAAGTGATTTGTGTCATAAAAAAACTAAAAAATAAAAAGGAGATTCATAAAAAAGGAGACAGAGACATCTAGAATTTTTGGGAAAATAGGAAAATAGGAATATAGTTCAACATGGAATGGAAAAAGAATTGATATAGTTCAATTTTAGTCAAAGAACAGTCCCGTTTCAAAATTACTCTCGAGAGGAGATTTGGTTGAGACTATTAAAATTAATATTTGATTTTTCTTGGAATAGGTTTTTAGACGTCGGGTATTCTAGTAGTCTCATGCATATCCCTAGTTCTGACAATTTACTACAGAAATGGAAAAAAAAAAGTGAAATAATATTTAAAAAATTTCTCTATTTTATTAATTTGAGCCATGGATGAAACCATAAATCCAGTCTAGGCAACTCTAAGTCAATCAAAAGGTTTAAGAAAGGGAGGGAACTATTTTATGCACGGACAAAAGAACAAAAAAGTAAATAAAGGTCAAGGAGAACAAAAAACAAAAGCATGCAGCTAATTAACAACCAGAAAACAAATGATCCGAATCAGCTATTTTAGATATGTCTTTATAATAACAACCCAATGCTAACTATTTAGTTTCCTAGAATCAGGACCAACAAAAGAGAAGAAATAAACTGATACAAACACACAAACCCTAATTGCACAAGAGGATATTTTATTTCCAAATGGACTTATTACAAAGGCAACGACTAAGAAAGTCAATGAAGCATTTGATGGATTGGTCAAGAAGATATTTGGATCTAATGATAAAGTGTCAAATAAAGAGATGGGCTTGCAAGAAGATCCAAGGCTGGTTCACATGATCCAAATACGTGGGCATTAGGTCTTATAGTTAGCTTATGTTTAAATTAGTATAATTGGACCTACTACAATTGGGCTTTATGTTTTAATTAGTTTTAGGGTTTCCTACATATAAATACTTAGCTATTAAGCATTGTGGGGTATTATTCAGTTTATGCATTTTATTTCAAGAAAGATCACACGGCTGGTTACGACTGATCAAATACGTGGGATTAGGCTATCTATGTTTTTATGACTTAAATTGGTCGTCCACAGAAAATTAGTATACGCAGCGACATTACGGGCTAACCTACGCAATCTAGTGAGGTAATGGCGACGTTATATTTTGAACACCTGATGTTTATATATAAAGTTAAAGTTCTCTTGCGGACGGGTTAGCACATAACCTCGATATTAAAAATTCATCGAGCGCACTTTGATATTAATCATGCGCGGGCTAGCTATGCAAGCCCCATTGTGGGGTATTATTCAGTTTATGAGGCATATTAATGTCTACTCACAGGAGAAGCTGTCGAGATAGGCTCTATGGTTTTTTTTCATTGAACTTCTGGATGATTTCAAAACTTAAGTGCATAAATAGGAATTATGCGACTATGTCCAATCTAAGTCCCTTGCGTACCCGTCACTTTGCCCATCCTTGACTTTAACCTGCAAATGCGCGAATTGAACTAATCTTTTGGTTCATACTTCTAGTGCTCGGAACGTTTTTGAGAAGGAGGATCAGCATTCCCAAGCCAATCATACCATCACGAACGCCGCACAGAAAGCATATCCCATGAAGCTTTGGACAAATGTCCAGGGGTTCTAAAAATCATTGGGAATTGCTCAGCCGGTGTTTTAAGTAGTCACAATCGAGCTAAATCATGCATGTCCCTGGGTTGGTGGCTTCAAAAAAACACTCTATTACTATGCTTGGATCATCGTCAGCATCATCTTGGGTAAAATTAGAGCCCTTGGGCTCAGTTCAAAAAGGTTTGCTTTAAAATATATATCTCTATTTACTCAGGCCTGCTACATGTTTAAATTAGTATAATTGGACCTACTACAATTGGGCTTTATGTTTTAATTAGTTTTAGGGTTTCCTACATATAAATACTTAGCTATTAAGCATTGTGGGGTATTATTCAGTTTATGCATTTTATTTCAAGAGAGGCGAATTCTCTATGGTTTTTCATTGAACTTGTTTTCAAACTTATCAAAGATAATTTATCTTTCTAACTTTCATCCTTTTACCTTGATATCTTTGGTTCATACTTCTAGTTGAGTTTTGGATCAAGATCCGCAATTCCATCCAACAAAAAATTCCTAATTTGGAAATTAGGGTTCCTAATTTGGGATTTAGGGTTTATATATGAAATCTGATTTGGGTGTCAAAACACTATTCTTTGGGTTCCACATCATTTGGTATTAGAGCCTTGGCTCAAATCAAGTTCTATCTATCTCTATTTTGCTTTCATTTATATTTGTTTGTTTCCGTTTTGCTTCTGTTTGGTCCTGTTTATTTTCATTTGATTCCGTTTGTTTCCATTTTGCTTCCGTTTATTTTCGTTTTACTTCCGTTTGTTTTTGTTTTCCTTTCGTTTGTTTCTGTTTGCTTTCATTTGATTTTGTATGCTTCTATTTACAACGGTTGTTAAAAAAAATCGCTCCAATCTAGTTTTAAAAAACAAATTATTAATTGTTTGCAATTTCATCATACTAAGTTACAATCTGTAGATCTTTTATTTCCTAATTCAATAATCCAAGTTGCAATTTCATCATTCTAAGTTACAATCTGTAGATCTTTTATAATCAATGTCTACAAATGCACTTGGTCATGCCAAGTTTCAATTTTTAACAACATTAATCAAGTCCAAACAGTATTTAAACTTGACAGCTGTCACCACTTTTGTCAACATTGCAACTTTGTGAGACTTGCATTGGTGGGATTTTCGCCAACGTGGATATCATTGGTTATGTGGCAAATATCCCACATCAGGATTTTAGGAAGGGAGAGGGGCTCCTTTCAGCTATAAAAATGAGCATAGTTTCTTCATTTTAATCGTCCTAACTTGTCTTCCAATACCTAGTGGGTTAGACAAGTTTCTCTTCTCTCTCAATTTGTATATTTCTTCTTCAATAGCAGCATCTAGACCTTGATCTTGCTGAAAGAGAGCATCTAGAAGTTCACTCTGCTACATGCCGAAATGACCGATGCCATCGAAAATCTCCACTGTAAATCTTGCATTTGATACAACATTTCTTACTAAGGTTGATGTTGTAGCAGGTGTGGTATTTTTCTTTCCGTCTGTCATTTCTGCTTTAGCACCAATATTCTCACATGTCTAAACTTAATGCAGTCTCATCGTAGTGTTCTTTGATAATTATAGCAGGTCTTGTGGTTTATTATTATTTACTTCTTTTCAATGTCCTTGTGTTTCTTATTTAATTTTTCTCTACTTTAGTCTCTTTTTAATAATTAGTGATTTTATGGTAAATAAGCTTGATAAATAATTTTTACTCAATATATATTATCAAGATATTGGTGGATATGAAACGCCGCTAAGGAGTATTTATCCTATTTTTTATGTTTACTTAAATTGGATGGCGTAGAAACTTTAAGACCTTCAATTTTGAGAGATATCTGCCAGGATCACAGTTTGATGTGAGTGTTAAATACTATCCTTTAGTATACCGTCCCCTTCAATTGGCCTCTGTATCACAACTATGTTGTCGTAAGTATTAAATGATGTGTGAAGCCTTTTTTTTCTCCACCCAAACTTCTAATAATATTACAAGTGTGTTTAATTTAGATCCTCTTTGTTATATTGAACTTCCTAAGATGGAGCTTAATTACTAAAGGCCTAAACAGACAAATCCTAAAGTGTTCAGAATTCCCAAAACTTAAAGAGTGTTGGGAGAGTAGTCTTCCAATACGTTTTTCAATATTTACTCTAACGACCATTAATGCGAATGTGCAAGAACAATAACCAAGCACACGGATACATTAGTTGATTTATGATTAGAAGGCCCTCTAACCCATAAAATTAAAAATAATTACAACATCATAAGTAAGAGAACAAGTAACATCAAATAAAAAACTGTGGAAGAAATGCGGGATCCGCTAAATAGTAATTTTAAATGAGATTCGGCGGTTTGACCATCTTTTGACTAGCCATTGTGGTTGAGGTACCTCATTCCTATAGTTGATACCAAATTTTATAGTATCCTTTACCTTTAAAAGGTTATGAAAGAGAGAGAAATGATAACCCCTACATGGAACTTATAAAAAGCACTCACCAACCATCTAATGATAATTTGATTTAGGAGGACAATTGACACTAGTTTTGGGGATATCGCAGCTATATTTAAAAAATGAAAAGAAGAAGTAGGCCTACGAATATTTAGTGTTTATATAGCTCGGTAAGGAGCCCCCCTTCCGACCTATGACCCCGTGGTAAATAAAAAACAATCCCCGAGCTAGACGCTGAAGGGATTAAGTTACTTCTCGGACCTCCCGGGCCAGTAGCACCGCTATAATCGATATGAGATTCCAATGGAAGTGGAATGTGTTGCGTTGTGGTTGTGGTGGTAAAAATTTGTATAATTGTTTTCTAAACCCGGGCCCCTATGGTCTTTCCCTACTCGCGTCCTGTGTCACAATAAAATACCAATTTAAATTGAACTACTATATAACGGAACTAATTCGCCTCCGTTGTAACCTACTAACACCTGGAATACGCTTATCGTCCTTAAGTGTAGAGATCGCAGACGAACGCGGCACCCTAGACACCAACGATTTTCTCCATCCAACTGAGTAACTACACCAGGTAAATTCCCAAATAAGTGGAGGAGTCACAAACGTTTATCTAGACATGCAATTAATCAGACAATAACCACCAAAATATTTTTGCCAAACAATAAATATTAAATAAATAAAGACAAGCAACAAATAAGAGAGAACACCAGAATTTTAATGAGATTCGGCCAATTTTGTCTACATTTTTAGACACTACCAAATTTATATTTTACTTAAAAAGAGGAAAGAAACTTTATTTAACCCACTAAGTATTGAAAGACAAGTTGGGACAATTAAAATGAAAAAATTAGGCTCATATTTATAGCCGGAAGGAGCCCCTCTCCCTTCCTAAAATCCCGACGTGGGATATTTGCCGCCTAACCAACAATAGCATCATGGAAGTGAGGAGCGGGTTTGTTAAATGTAATTTTCAACGGCCTTGGTTCACCGTCTCCATAACCATCCACTACCTAGCTCCGTTCCCACCAATCCTTCTCTGCAGGTCGCCGGACCAGCACCCATTCTCCATTCTCAACTATCGTTTTCTCTGTACAAGGCAGCGCAAAGCAAACTAAGCAAGTGTATCATATATGGCGTTTTCCGTGTGCTATGAAAAAGATGTGATTTATAAAAAATAAAAAAATAAATTGAATAACTAAGCGTACTGCGATTGAATTGGAAAGAGAGATACGAATACATATACGATCCAGAAAAAGCGTTTATCTTCATAATTTTAACTAATTATTTAATTAATTCAATGAATTGTTATTGTTTTGAAAATTTAAATATTTTTAGTTATTTACTAAAAAATTTTAATTTTTAAATTACTATTTTTTAGAATTATTTTATACAATAATTTTATTACAAATTATATATTTTTAGAGCATTGAGAATTATCAAATAAAAGATGAAGACCTTTCGTTATGTATAGATTACAGTATAAACTTTGCCAAGCTACGTACGTAATCACAACAGTACACACTACCAATAGGAACGGACAATGATCACGATAAAGATTAGCAAGTGATGACAAAATTTCCACGGGAAGTCGGTATTATACATATATTTATTCCAAGTAGGACGGATGGTACGCAGTTCATCTCATATTATTCTAAGAAAATAATATTTTATTTTTTATATATTATATATATATAACTTTTTTTTTTTTTCCAAAGTTATTATGTCCTGCATCTGTATCTTGTCGTGTTGGTATGCCTATAGCTATGTTTGTGTTCGTTGCTTCGTATACTTGTTTGTGCTCGTTGGTCTGTATCATATAATTGGGCATGTAAAGAAGAGAAGGAAGAGAAATAAAAGCATTTTCACTTCATTAAATACATTATTATTATTATTATTTACAGGAAAGAAAGCTGTGTATCATACGTTGATATGAATAGGTCGGAGCTTTCCTTCCTGAAATGAGATCAAGAGTGATGAGATCAAGAGTTCGATACCCATGAATGAAGTACACACGTGACCCTTAGTGGACTTGGTGAATTGAGGATACCTAACTAGTTGATACCAAAAAATAAATTGTGCAGATGAATAGTGAGAAACAGTACTGAGTTTTCAAATTTAGTATATTTGTATATACTAAACACCCAAAGGCATAAGATTTTAGAAGCAATAATTGCATGAAAGGAGAGATGTGTGTGAACAAAAACGCTAGAGGCAAAAGAAAACTACAAAAAAGAAAAGCCTTCTCCATCTATATTCTATTCAACAACCTACGACTTATATAGTATGTATCACTATTGCATCATCTCCATCATCATCAACACTCAATGACTTATCGAATGGGGGCATGAGATCTGAGTCGTTCACGGTTTTGATTCTATTTTTAATGTCCTTAAGCTCAGATTGCACAGCATTTAATTTTGACATTAGTTCGGATTTTTCCCTTTCCCACTCACTCCTATCGTTATCCAGTCTTCCTTGTAATCGAATACATTCATCACGGATGAGATTTAGCTCATCAATATGTCTATCACCAGTTTCGGCTGACTCGTCAGACCAATGGAAAAATCCACATTGCTAGCAATGATAAGACAAGAAATAGATGAGGACAAAACAAGCAAGCTGTAAGAAAATAGATTCCTGTTCAAAGAGAAGGAAAGATGAACTTACAGCATTATAGCTTTTGGGGCAGTTGTAGAATAATCGATAAGGGTTTCTGTCCGTGTGAGACACTCGCAATTTAGCAGGAAGCCCACAGAAGCACTTTACTTCAGAGTCTTCATATGAACTCTGCTCAGAGTATTCAGATGTGCTGGACTCGGAATCTTCAGTGGCACTCATATCAGAATCTTCAGCGTTCATATCAGAATCTTCATGGGTACTCATAACATATAATTCATTCCTGATTACATTTAACAATCATTATTTTTTGCCTTTAAGACCAAATGCTGCTGTCAACCACACTTTAATGCAAATTCTGGATCATGGTAGAGCACTATTCTAACAAACTAGTCTAAATCACCAAATGATAAGAACTGCAGAAATACTATGAAGCCAAATTTTTTCCTTTAACCAAAAAGAAGCAACACACGTGCACATAAATTGTGTCTGTATTGCGGAGGTGTTTCCGGGAGTTGTGCTGCTATCCCTATATTCCACTGCTAGGGAAGGATAGAACTAATCTGTAGTCCTATGTTTAAATGACCATAATGGCCTCCATATCATCATGCAAGTGGTAATGTTATGATTGCTCCACTTTAAAGCAACAGTTCCTTAAACCATATGCAATCAAGACAATGTTGTAGAAGCATTTGATTAATCTGAAGAATTTAATAACATAAGACAGACCAAAGTAGTTGCACAAATTCATCCATTAATGATTAGAAAATAAGAGAGAGAGAGAGAGAGAGAGAGAGAGAGAGAAGAAAACAACCGCAACAATGACAGATTGAATTAACCAGCTTAATCCAAAAGCTTAGGTCTGTGACTAAATGGTCTATTTAGTGCATCAAACATGTTTTCCTTAATTTTTTTCCCTTCACACTGCATTTTTCAATTTTTGTAAGGAGACATCTTACTGCTATTTCTCATTCTTCTGTTCTTTGATCCTATCAATTTGCATCCAAACTGCCTGTCTTGTCCTTGAACTTCTCCAATTGCTTATTCTTTTTACATCAGTCCTTGAAAACAATATACAATTTTGATCCTCCATTTCCATTCTCTTGCTTTCTGGATATTTAAGATCTCATATTAGAATTTCATTTTAACGGACAAAAAAATCTTTCCCACTTCCAGCGTCCTTAAATTGGCAAAAATTGGCAACACTATAGCAATTTTGCCAAAAGCAATAGCACATGCAGAAGATACAAATGAGAAGACAACCACATAACATCGAAGATGGGGCCCCAGAATATTTACAAAATTCAAGTCATCCATAATAAAAATAAATATATAAAAACGCAGCAGCTAAGCTTCTTGATATGTGACCCTGTTCCAGCATTCTGTATGAAACCCAGAATATGAAAGTGGAAATGATGAGGTAACACCAGCTGAAACTTCAAACTCAAAGATACATAAGGATTTCCACCAATTCTCTTCCCCAGCATATTACAACTTACAACTTACAGGAACATGCATATTGGACAATATGTTAGGTCTCTTTCTGAATGAATCCTTACTTTTCATGTGAAACCAAATACAGCCACACCATCCAGAAACACCTTTTTTTTTTTTTTTACGAGATACCATTACATACATTACATAGCCCCACAGTTCTCATTGAAAAAGAATGGAGACAATTAGACTAGTGAAGCAGTAGAGAGAAGAGGGGACGGAAGAAGAGAAAGAGAAGAGAGAAAGAAAACCAAAGAAACCGCACCAAATGACAGATATTTGAATTACCCTATGTACCTTAATCCCAGTAAGAGTTGATCCGTGTGCTCAATGACTTCTTGTGACTAAAGTGGCGATCTACTCAATTTGTACGCATGCAAAGTCATATATAAGAAACATGTAACTTTCACCTTTATGTTGTTATAGTTTCCACTAATCCGTTAAACGTATTTGTTAACCACGCCTAAAAAAGTTTTTTCCCCAAACTGTATTAATTTGTCATAATAGGAAGATACAATCTTACCATAATCTTGTGAGCGAGCTATTTCTCCAATTCTTGATCTGTTAGTATTCTGTATTGAAATCCCTAATCCAGCTTTGGAGCACATTCCGAGAAAGACTGTCCTGTTCTATGGATGTGTAATGGAAAACGCTTTGGCGCATACTCAAGTTAGTAGCTTATTTCCCTTTGCCTATTTACATACCACTCAGCTACCTATGAAAAAACAAATATAATAAGGAAGCTATATATTGGAATGACCACCCTCCCAATATTCACACATTCTTCTGTGTTGAACTTCTATCTATTACTACAATAGGGAGGGAGGTAATTTTATAAGGAATCTCTCATATTAGGAAATTCATTTTCAATATAACTGGCAGCAAAAAAAATTCCTCTTATGATTATTCCACAGGATACTTAAGAAATCATCGCGAATTCTTTCATATTGGTATGTGCCTACCACTCGTTACATGTTATTACTTTAGGACAAATAATTGGGCTAACACCACAATCACGCATTATGGGCCTTTAGCAATAGCTATCACATCTTGTTTGGAAACAGATAACAAAATCGACGAACTAGAAGAAAGAACCAACTCTCCAACCATAAATACATGAGAGAATACTGGGGCCTCCTCACTCCAGAAATAATTAACAGCACAGATTTCAAAGTCATCTTTTAATCAAAATATATCAACAAACACACTCACAAATGGTATATTTAATCATTGAAAAAACCCGGCAGCCACGACCTAGAACCTTTCTTAAAAATAATGTGGAAAACGAACACGGACCTGATTTCCCAAAAAATCCAACGACATTAACGTGTATCTTTGGAGAATCACCCAAAGAAATTGAAAAGAGTGGAGAAAAACATGATTGCTAGAGAGATGTTAACACACACCAAATAGAGGAACTTGGAAACTATCAACCATCCTTATAAAAAGACTAACACCATGAATATAGGGGATTCAGCTCCCACCATAATAGATCTCTTTCCCCTCACGCAAATTATGCAACCCTGTACGCAACCTTACTGACATTACGGATAGTAACAGCCATTATTGGAGACAAAAAATGAATAAGGGAATCCTTAAATCATCTGAATCATGGTCTTGAGAGGATGAAAGCTTCATTTTACATCTTTGCCGAAGGTGGAGGGTAGGAAAAAAGAGACAATAACCTAGGGTGGCACCGCGAAAAATAGCACACATAAAAACACACCACCAGTATTTAATTATGAGTAATTATTGTATATTAGTAGGAGAAGACCAGTAGAAAGAGAGAAGACAGACAAGGAACAATCGCCCCTTACCTAAACAATACGGAAGTACAATCACCCTGAAATGGCAACCGACCCAAAGTCGTGTGAGACAATGAAAAGACGTAGCCGAGCTAAAAATTATGGACAGAGGCAGCCAATGGTAGAAATCTTCTACTCGCTGGTAGCCGGGAGAGGTTGGGAACCTCACCATAAAATATAAGTTACACAAAATATCCCGGCCCACCAATAGGGAGAATTCAGGATGCAAAAGGTACTGGAATACCGATCTAATGGAGTAATGCTAAAGGTTCATGAAAATCCTCCCGTGAAGAGTTTGCTTCAAGCGAAATCGTGATACTTTATGCAAAAGAAAAGCTGTCGTCCACCTTCAATACAAACACATAGTCCTTAAATAACCCAGTTTTGCACTTAGACTACACCTAATTAATAAAATTTGCCGCCAACTAGGGGGAATGCCGAAAAACAAGCTAATAACTCTTGCTACGCGAAAACCTATGATAACAACTTCCCTATTATGCCCCTTTTTTTTTTTTTTTTGTACATAGAAGAGCAAAGCTCAAAGAAAGAACCTAAGCACGCATTCTAGAATAAGACATGCCACAAATATGACAGAGGAGCCAATGTAGAATTCCAGGAGGAGGTTGATCCACAAAATAAGTACCCAACGCTGCTGAACGTGCTTGTTTCTCTAAGTAATCCGCACAAGAGTTTGCTTCACAATAGATATGCAAACTTGCACATCCCAATACAAGTTCTATCCTGTTTGATAGATAAAATCAAATCCCAAGGATGCCAACAGGAACTCATAGGAAAACTATGATAACACTTCCTATTAAAAACATCTAAAAAATCCATTTGCATCTCAACACTTGTAACAATTAAGAATTTGGTTGGTACAGTTATAAATAAGCAAACAACTTTCTTCATTAACATTTTAAACTACAACAAGGTGTCTACTTCTTGTCAATTTGATTCCTGCATGTTTTCCTCATGTTATTGTTATGTATCAATTTATTAAAATATGGCTCCTTCCTGAGATGGTAAGACAATAGCCTAATAGAATCATACTCTAAGGCCCCTTATCTAGAGCAACATTATATAATCTTATCCCATGAACAAAGTTATGATCTTATTACACCTAAATGTTGATAACTAACAACAATATGCAAAAGCTTCCCCTATACAATGAAGGAAATGGGAAAAAAAGGTGCAAGAATTATAAGCTAATGGAGACATAAAAGAATCATCATATAGATCAACGAAAAGGGTCAACAAGAAATTTCTTACATACATACAAAAACTATCAAAAAACTTAAATGCAACAGAATTCCCAGATAAAGATCAAACTTTTAGAATCTCACAATTTATAACATGCTCATAAAATTATTGGCAGCTAGAAACAAAATACCAAACTTTCCAAATCACAATCCTTAGTCTATCTCAACAACAAAATAGTAATTTCACTAACTCGTCTAAAACAAACCCATCATCAATCAATTTCACTAATTAGCTAAGATAACGCTAATATTAAAAGATAAAACAGAGAAACTGAACTGGGAAGAAACTGAGGCGACATGGAGGAAAAACTGGAGAAAAAATTAATACAAGAAATATCAAACGGCTATTATATAATCCAAAAACGAAAAATGTGTAATACTGACCAGGATTTTAAAATCGAATGGAAAAGGATGATTATCCCGACTGAGAACAGAAATATATACAGAAGGAGCATAGGCGCCAAGAGTGTTTTTCTTTTCTATTTCCAAGCTTTTAACTGGAAAATTGAGTGAGAAAGTTGCTTAGGACCGACGGTTCCACGCAGTAGATATCAAGGCACTTTAACTTGTACCCGGTGTGTATAATTCATAAATTTAAAAAATAATAACTTTTTATTAAAATAAATAATTATAATTATAATAAAAATAAGTTAAAAATTGAAAACCACAAAATTAAAAATTGAATTCATTTAATATTATGATGTTTTATACAAAAAAAAAAAAAAAAAAAGAAAGGCCTTTTCCATAGAAAAACCTGGGAAAATGGTTTTGAGTTTGGTTTAGCGCAAAGGTATGTTACCTTAAGTGTAAATCTGTACCGTAAAACTTGACGTTCCCACGTAGATGGAGATAAATATCAATGGCACTGTATCTCAGATGACACCCTTGTATCCCTGTTTTCCGAGGTGTGTAAATATAATATCATAGGTTAAATATTTAAAAAAATAATAAACTTTTTGAATATTAAGAAAATATAACAAATTGAATTGTTATTAAGATTATATATAACTAAACACTCAAGTTTAAATAAAAAATTGAAAACGCCATAACAAAAATGCTAAAAAATAATATTGAAATTCATATTAATTATATATATGATGATTTTATACAAGAAAAAAAAAGAAAAAAAAGAAAAAAAATGCCAATCTAAACAGAAATTGATAAAGGACAAATAGATTTAGATACACTTGAAGCTAAATTCCTCATCATTTAATTACACTTATGAAAAAGAATCAACATTCCATAGGCATATAACCGCACATTTATATCGAATTATGGAAGTAAGTGATAGAATGTAAAATTAATATAAATTATTATCTCTCTGTATAATTAATAAAATATTAGATAATTAATCCTCCTTAGATCTTGCAACTTATGTCAACCGGAAGCGGTCATTGACCTACAATCACCCCAGCATGTAGGATTGAAAAAACGGAAATCATAACAAAGCTCTTTTCATAGGCGCGAGGGAATATAAATAAAGTGTTTGCTCCTATATTCAGAGAATACCAAATCGAAGATAATAGAAGTCAAATAAAGGTAGAATTGCGATTCTTGAAATTAATGCTACACTAGAACAATTTCTCTCTACCACATAGCCATATGAGGTAATAAAATAAAAATGTTAATCAACATCTGATGCGAAAAAGCAATATCTTAAATTAGTTGGGCATGGGGTAACTAATCTAAAAAATATTTTTCTCTGATTTTCAGTTAGGAATTGATGAATATATAATCTTTAATACACTATAACCTTCAAATTAGAAATAACAAAGTAATCATTACCTTGTAATTCTTGCCTTGCTTTGTTGTGAAGTTATCCTTTAATATTATTTTTACATGTAATTGTGTAGACCGTGTAGATGGAAATTTTATAATTAAATTAGGAAAAAACATCTTTAGTATAAATCAATCCAAAAATATTATTTTTCTGTGACTTAAACTAAATAAAAATTAAGGTATTTTTTGATAGAATTCTGTATTTCCATATCCGCATCATATATATTACACGATTATGTTAAGTTAGATTAGTATTTTTGCCGCCAATGCCTCCTCTCCAATTAATTTTAAGACCTTCTTTTCTTTCCATTACATCGTTTGGTGTAATATTATTTGCACTCCTAAATGATAAAGAGTGGAAAGTGTATGGAATAAAATATTAGTGTTTTCAAATCGCTTGTCCATTCTTAATATATGGTAGAATAGCGTAAATGGAGTTTTGTAATAAAATGGAATATAATTCCCACTAGAAGCCACAGGTCACGCCAGGTTTAAATAATTGGTTAGTGAAAGTCCTGATGTGGACCGAGTCTATAAATGATATTAGAGCCTAAAGAGTAAAATTAAAAAATTATCAAAAATTAGGCTATAAAACACGTAGTAAAAGTAATCTCACAAATATAGTGGATATTTCTCTCTCGCAACATTACTAACATCTTTATTTCGATCACACTTAATTTATGGGCTTAATTATTTTGAAAAAGTATGTGATCATATTTGACCTGACAAAAGGTCCTTATTTTTTTTTCTTTCTTTTCTTATTTTTAGCATATTTACATAATTTTTAGGCTGTATACGTTGTCTTCTTATTTAAGAGAAAAATAACGAGATTCCATTATTCATCTTTATTAAAGAATTAAAATAAACTGAAATCCCATTAACCCGATTGATTTAAACGTAAATAATCCCAATGAAAAAAAAAATTAAAACCAACTATTAGAATTTAATTGCTTTTTTTAACCATTAGAGAATGGATATCAAGTTCAAAATAAAGGATAAAAGTTGAAAATGAAAAGACCAACTTATTTATCCTCAACATGTTGTTGTCCCTTAGGTCTTGAGACGCACCGTGTTAATCAGCATATATATAAGAAATTGGGAACATATGTATAAAAGATCCAAGAAGTAGGTGCTGTAATGTCTTAAATTGGTTACCTGTCGGACATTAATGTCCCTATAATGCCAGCCTAACCCATTACGGGCCTTAAGTTGCCTTAGGCAGCCACCAATTCGCCTGATCACAACGTATGTCTGAATTCACCTATATAGTGTATAGTTCAATATTGCCTAATATATTTCTGTGCCCCAGAAGTAAGAAAGCCCATTTCACCATCGAAAGGTCCAGGTGTTTGTAAAGCCACTAATGCCTCCAATTTTCGCAGAGCTCAATTATTATAGGATTTGATGAAATATGTGTCTATCGCTGTAATTTGTGCCGTATATACTCTTCTAATCTATATCAAATTTCTGAAAATACCGCCCAGTTCAACCTGTCCTTATAATTTAATCTATAGTAATGAGTTCAAAAGGATGTTATGGAGAAGATTACCTCACAGCAGACCTGGCCCTTCCCTTTGTGATGGATGAAGTTTAAAGAATGATGCCCGAGGGAAAAAGACAAAAATATGTTCAAAGCTTGAACGGCCCGGAGTGCTCTATCCTATGGTTAAGGTGCGTATAGTAAGGGAAGTCTTATCCCGTGTCCTTAAGGAGCCCGTCAAGCTCAATAATATTTCATCTCACGCCAAAAAGGTGAATGCCGTGACCAGTAGGCCCAGGGCAAAAAACTGCGAGCCTTATCAAACAATAGAACCAGAAAAAGGAAGTATGACATGCTGACAAATGATACTATAAACTGCCTCCTCCTAACATGCCACGCCCTGAAAGGTCTCCAAATGAACAGAGGCCATCCATTGTCCCTTCCGTGTCCCTATTTACCAGTTGTTGCCTCATTTGGGTCTCCAAAGAATAGGTATTTTTGTTCGGATAGGTGTTTTTACAGTGTCATATGGTTTTGATGTCTCTCAAGTGGATTTTTTCCTTGCTCCAAAAGAAATTGCCTTTATAATATTAGGAGTTATCCTTTCGGTTTTTTGTGTGTTTTTTATATAAATATATTTGCCTTTCAGTTAAAGACTAGTTCTTGTCTTTTTAGAGGTTTTCCTTTTAATTTTCATTTGCAATCAAAACCTGTAATTTTTGTTCCAATAGAGCTTGCATAAGCTTTAATTTAATCAGGCGGTTAAAAAAGGTATTGAAGTGTTAAAATTTTCCCAGGGCTGCCCGAATAGCAACCTCGGCAATGAAATACTTATTTGCTACTGTGGACAGGGTGCAAAGAAATTATAAGGAAAGAAAATGCATAGTGGACACACATTTTGAAACATAGCTTTGAGCCTGTATTGACCTGAAGGTGTGTGTTCTCTCTCTATTTAATGTGCCCCTGTAAAATCATGGATTTATGTCAAGCTGTTTTTTTTTTTGCCTATCTTCATTCTGCAGAATGAAGTTTTTTTAATAAAATTTTGAGGCTCTTTCATCATCCAACCTTCTTTTTGAAATTTGAATGCAAAAATATGCCATTCAAAACTTATTGGAATAGATTGTCTCTGTATTTCGACGAAATTGGGTGGTAAAATTGGGTTGTTATAACATGGACTAGTGCAAAGGAAGTATTGACACATCTGTTTGGTCAAGAAGTCTACATAATATACATAAATAAAAGTAGGCTAGTTTTGGCAGCGCGAGCGTTGTAATTTAGGTATCGCATCAATTTCGCTGGACAAAGTTTATTTCGGCGATATGATGCTTTAACTCCTAAGTGTAGAAAAATGTACAAAAATGAAGAGCGTGAATGCTTTATGCCAGATGTGCGTATTATGGTGTGTATACATTGTGTTTCCTGGCTTAATAGTGTGTGTGTGATGTAAAAATAAAAATCTTAAACTGTTTCAGTTCTGGAATCCTCTCCTTTTAGTTTTTTATAAATTGGAAGTCACACGAAAACGCCTACAAGGAGTCTTAGTTGATGATTAAACTTAGATTGCATGCTAAGCAAATGATGTGCTCAGGATAAGTCTCTATATGTTTCAATGTTGACTGTATCCTCCTTATCACCGTTATGAAAGAATAGAAAAAAAGACATGAATGCAAAACACAGACAACACCCAGTACTAATGGTGCCATTTCGTGTTGGATAGTGGCTAAAGTTTTTGTCTGACATGATTTGAACATTTTGTGAAATAAGGTGCTAAGGAGTTTCAATTGTTGACCTTATTTTCTTGATTTGTGTGGTTTAGAAATTTTTGTGGGCCCCGCTAATTAGGATCACCATTAATATCGTTAAAGTTAAATTTCCCTTGCTTTCCCTAACTAAATTGAGATCACTTTAAGCAGAGAACTGGTGTGAAATCCGAGCCAAAATATTCCCTTGTAGAGCTAGGCCTTTTAACGATCTGTTTCTTTACTTCTTTAATTAGGTTCTTCTGTAAACCTCCACCACAAGATTTTTTCCAGAATTGAATTAGGGTGTTTTTAGCGAAAAGTGATAGTGAGTAGTATTTCATTCGAATGACAGATTCTCCAATATATCTCTCTGATTCTATAATTGCATATTCTTTGATTGAGAAAAAACACATTCACCCCTATTCCTCTCCGATAGGTTGAGCAATCTCTTTTTTGGAATCGTAATTCCCTGGTAATATTAGTCTGATGTATTAGCATGAATTGGTTTAATCAAATGCATCGCAACTTGTACCATACACTTA